CTCTCTCTCTCTCTCTCTCTCTCTCTCTCTCTCTCTCTCTCTCTCTCTCTCTCTCTGTCTGTTTCTCACACTGTCTCTCTATCTATATATCCACGCCAAACCTATAATATTATACAGTTCATGAATCATTGAAGAAAATCTGATTAAACTTGCAAATACCGTTTGATGTGTACTTGCATGTTCTCCGACGACGACGACGACGATGATGACGATGACGACAACACAAACCACGTTTCAACCAGAATAGATCTGGATTTTTATGCTATCGCTATGTGTGTTTTTTTTTCTCTTTTAAATCGATTATGCAAATTGACAATGATCATTTCAATGATGAACAACTGTACTAAATATTTGATTAAACATTGACCCGACGCAAAGAGAGCGACAAAAAAAAAAGAGAAATGGTTCGACATACGACGGCAAAAAAAGAACCATTTACCTAATTGAAAACCGTAAAGAATTTCATCCTTTTGCATAAATGAATAAATTCCGGAATGTCTCGAAAGATGTTTTCAATTCTAAAAAGCCCTTCTCAACAATTTCTGTCTTTTTTTTTCTCTCTCCATTTCTATTTGCACAGCACTCATTTTTCGAATCGGATGACACAGAAATTACGAAAAATCTACCACGAGAAATACTTTTGCGGATTTTTTCATTTTTGGATGTGGTTTCATTATGCAGATGCGCACAGGTACAAATACATTCGATTGTTGCATTATTATTAGTTTTCCGTTCGATTGGAGCTTTTCACTAAATAGCGTTGATTGTATCTCTGTACACAGGTTAGCAAATACTGGAATATTCTAGCATTAGACGGATCAAATTGGCAGAAAATCGATTTGTTTGATTTCCAACGAGATATTGAGGTGAGAGACACACACACACACGATACAATCGAATAACAATCGTCATTTCCTATTTGGCTTTTCAAATGGACTCAGCAATTCAATTTAATTTTATTTGCATTTCACAGGGTCCTGTCATAGAAAACATTTCACAGAGATGCGGTGGCTTTCTGAAGTATTTGTCTCTGCGAGGATGTCAATCAGTTGGCGATCAATCAATCAGGTACTGAGTACATTTTGCATTTTGGATACACGCTGTCTCCTATCTTTTCAAATTATTTATTATGATTTTCATTTGGGGTATTGAATACATGTTTATTTTCTTATTGCAGAACACTTGCTCAACACTGCCATAATATCGAACGACTAGACCTATCTGACTGTAAAAAAATTACCGATCAAGCAATTTACGCGATCAGTAAGCATTGTTCAAAGTTAACGGCAATCAATTTGGAATCATGTGTGAATATCACGGATAAAAGCCTAAAAAATGTCGCCGATGGATGTCCGGTAAGATGAATGCGTTATTTTTGTCGACCAAATCTGGTCTGTTTCGTCCAAATGCAATTGACTTATTTTAAAACGCATTTTCTTTCCATCTCAACAACAACAAAAACAACAACGAACCAAAAAAAAAACGCACACAGAATTTATTGGAAATAAACATTTCGTGGTGTGATTCAATAACTGAGAATGGTGTGGAGGCGCTCGCCCGTGGTTGCCACAAATTACGACGATTCAGCAGTAAAGGATGTAAACAAGTCAATAATACCGCGGTTATTTGCTTGGCAACATACTGTAAATCGTTGACAGTACTCAATTTGCACAGTTGTGATGTATGTGATTGCGATTCATTTGCCCGAATGCGATTCACAATTTAAATTTATTCAAATTGCATTGTTTTTGTCTGTATCAACAGAGTATCACCGATGTATCCATCCAAAAAATAAGCGAAACTTGCTTCAGTTTGCAAAAATTATGCGTATCAAAATGTGTTGAACTAACCGATCATACACTTATATCGCTCGCCCAACACAATCCCCTATTGAACACGCTAGAAGTGGCTGGATGTCATCAATTCACCGATTTGGGCTTTCAAGCATTGGGCAAAGTATGATTATACATATATTTGACACAGTTTGGTGTATTTCAATCTCGTGTTCGATTTTCTCTTTCGTTTCAAAAGAATTGCAAGTATTTGGAACGAATGGATCTGGAAGAGTGCAATCAAATCACCGACTTAACTTTGGCACATTTGGCTACTGGCTGTCCGAGCTTAGAAAAATTGGTAAATACACATTGCAACCAAATTGCTCTAAATCCGCTTTTCTTAGCAAGATAGAAATGGTGTCAATGCTCAAATTCTTGATTTTTCTCTTTTTTTCCGCATTCATTTTAGACCCTATCACATTGTGAACTCATTACGGATGATGGAATACGGCAATTGGCAGCCGGAAGCTGTGCTGCCGAAAGTTTATCTGTTCTAGAGCTTGACAATTGTCCACTGATCACCGATCAGACGCTTGAGCATTTGGTGTCGTGTCATAATTTACAAAGAATCGAATTATACGATTGTCAAATGATCACGAGAGCTGCAATCCGTCGACTTAGGGTAAATTTTCCTTCTATTTCGTTTTTCATTCTATAGATGTCACTTTTATTTAGTCGCTATAATGAATTTGCATACCTTTTATTCAGTAATTTAGTAATGTGTGTGGTTTTTCCTGTCTTTTTTACAGAATCACCTTCCAAATATCAAAGTTCATGCATATTTTGCACCAGTCACACCACCACCAACCACATCCGGTGCTCGGCCCCGATATTGTCGATGTTGCGAAATACTCTGAGAAGAAGCAGTTGGTTTAGCCAGAAAAATACTGTGTCGAAATCATGAGAACAACGATGGCAATTTGTAAATGTATTTCTCATTCAGTTTATTTGTTTGCATTTTTTTTTCTTTCATTCAGTTTTTTTTCTTCTTTCGTTGTTATTGTTTTCATTCTTGTCACAACTAGGACACACATGGCGGAATATAAAATTTGCAATTGCATATCAAATACGGTTTGAATTGCACATGTCTTGAATATCGATTTCACTATTGCCAATAGTAATTTCAGTGAAACACTTCGGTTTGACTGCTTGTTATATTTGAGCAGGAGCTCCGCTTGTGGCAGGAAATTCGAATGTTATTAAACAGAGAAAAAAGTGATCCAATAAATAAAAATGATGCAGCGAATTTTATGTCATGTCATGTGTTTGTTATAAATTTGTTCATTTAATTGATTAATTCCCAATGGCTTTATTTTTCGCGACATTCACATTCATAATTTGATATTTTGACTCTTTGTTTCTTGCATTCATATGTTAAGCCATGTAAATGGTTTGAAAATTTTGTTTGAATTCTTAAGTTCGTCATATGTTTACTGAAATGCCATTCGAATAAAAATGTTTTATGATTGTACGGTTGTTCTGAAGTAATCTGATTAGTCTAGACAGACAGAGGGAGAGAGATTAGATTAAACAATCGCCGATAACAGAGGTCGCAAAAACCCTGGCTAAACCAAAGGTTATAGATATCATTTATTTCTATGGAAATGATGAAAAATGAACATGTGTGTGGAGAAAAAGCAGAAGATGATGATGAAAAGAAAATTCTCTTGAAGAAAAACATGAGATAAAAAACAACAAAACGGAATATTGTTTGGAGAACATGTTAATTGGCATTAGAACAAGGCCTAAATACATTCATTCGCCCATTGCCCTGTGCGTGACAACACACACACACACACAGAGAGAGAGAGAGACACACATTTAACGAAATTAATCGATGCGCCAATGATTGTTTTATGCTTGTGATACTGCAAACTAGCATGGGCCCAATAATTTTTATATTAATATATTAATATTAACGTATAAACATTTTTTTATTATATTTTAACAAGAAACAAACAAAAAAATGAAACAAAAACCAGAAAAATGCAAAACAAAGTAAACTACACAATAAATGAATCAAGTTGAAACATAGACATAATTATTCTAATAAAATCGGAACAAAATGAGATGAAAAAAAAAACGCATTCACGTACAGTTTCTTTCTATTGTCGTCAATGACATCACACTCACACATAAAAACAAATCATATTTAGAACTGATAAAATTTGAAGAAAAAAAAACGACATTTTCATAATACAAAATAATAAAAAAAAGAATGAAACTATCACAAAAAAACCGGTTTGCTTCGCAAAAATAAAACACAAAAAATAGAAGGAAAAAAAAAATACCAAATTCGAATAATTGTATTGAAAGAACAGTTGAATCAGAGCACGAAGACATAGAAGAAAAAAAAATAAACTAACATTTGGCACGAGGTCTGGCTTCTAATACAAAAAAAAATATGCTTTCAATGTTCACTGTTATGGAGTAGATCGAAAACAAAATTGCCTTACAAAACAAAACTCATTGCTAACTTCAATTCATGATTTTAGGTGCATTAGATTTACGGACGAAAAATAGAAACTACAACAAATCAAAGATTCCACTATATCTCGATTCATCTTTTTTTTCTAGCTCGCTTACATTCATTTTTTTCTATTTGTTCTGTTTTTTTTTCTTTTTAGAAGAAGAAGAAAACACGCAATTTCGTACACAAATTTAGTTTGACAACTTTTCAGCAGTTGACATTTCGAATGGTTTCTTTTACTTTAGCTAGCGCACGGAATAACAAAATTTGTTCCATTTTTCTCTCTCTCAATTTCAGTTAATCTTCTTTTTTTCTTTCTTCTCATACTTGTTTGATCAATATCATGAAAATATATTAAAGTGCATTTATTTATTTTTTTTTGTTCACGTGAACGAAAACGATGAACTTTCGACATGATGCCCCGGACAGACAGCTTGCTTCAGTGTTTCTATTACATTAGAGTATGCTATTCGTCTGGGGTGTTATGATTGCCACTCATTTTTTCTGTTATTGCATGTTGTTAAATCTCTCGAATTTCTAATGGAAATCTCAGTGTAGAAAATAAATGCAAAATGTTAGATCATAATCGATACTCTTCGCTGATGGAATCCCCTTATAATTTTTTCTCTCCCAACATTTTAACAACACATATATATGCAATTTTCATTAAATCGTACGAAGTGAAAACAAAACAATGACCAATTCAATGCTTTCAGAAAAAAAAATTCCAAACGAAAAATAGACAAACAATTCAAGAAAAAACGATGACGACGAAAATGACGCAAAACAACAACTACTTGGCTATAAGGAAAAATAGATACACACATTTTTCAAGACTGATTTTTACAAAACCAAAAATAAAACACACACGCAGAAATGAGTTGACAAATTGTCGCACTGTAACATAAATCGCTTCTTGTGTTGCTTTTTTTTGCATGATTCTTTTCGGTTGTTGCTCTTTGTTCTCGTGCAAAATTAAATGGAAATTTCGGTATGTTAGCTCTGATTGTAATTAGGAGTCTCTTAATAGGAGATTTAAATACGAATCTCCAAGAGCGAATGACAAAAAATACACACAAATTAACACTCAAGCAACACATACAAAAACAAAACCCCTAAAAACAACAACAACAACAGCAACTCAATCGATATGTAACAATCAAGCACCGAAATGCAACATCAGCAAAACAATAAAACATAGATTACATACTCACGTAGGTTCTTCCTTCTCTTTAAAAAAAATCATTGATGTTTCCTGCATATTTGTAGTAGAACCGCTATCTGGAATTGTTGTATTTCTAAACCAGAAGAAGAATAAACACACAATTTTGAATAACTTTTTGCCAACTAAAAGAAAACCAATCGAATTAAATGAGAAAAACGCATTCACATTATTGTATTCGTGAAAGAAAAACACAACTAAAAAAAAGGAATGATGAATTAATAAAATTGAGATGCTATAGATTGGAAGTATTTAAAATGAATTGGACAGTTTGTGATCGGATGAGCGATCAAGGAACGATTTTTCTTTGTTTTGCAAACAATTCAAGCGTCGATACATTTTCAATCGATTCGTTTATGTTCTGTGTAGAAAGAGAACGATTGTTTGTTATCAAAAGATTGATTTGCTAATTGAAACCAAAAACGCAGAACTGTTGAAAAGCTCAATCATGAGCGGAAGAATGATAGAAAGAATGAAAAGAAATGAAAGATAATAACAAAAAAAATGCTTTTACTATTTTACTATATTCATAATGAAAAAAAAACCAACAACAACAAAATGATGATCATCTTTTGATTTCTTCAAAATTATTTACATGTGAAACAAATAAGATAAACACTCACAGACAGAAAAAGAAACATAAGAAATTCGTTGATGGCTTAATGGCAGTTAATATTCAAGTATTTTGCAGCGAATAAAATATACAATAGATTTTGGATAATATACAATAAACACGAAGATATTTGAAGTCGAACTGTGTGCGGATTTTTTTTTTGCTACTTTTTATTCTTGATCAGCGTGACCATTTGTCACTAAGTCAGCTGTTGGATGCTTGGAGTGAATGCTCGTCAAATCTTGATAACTCATAAGTGCATCGGATTGAACCTTGAATGAAACCAATTGTCTCAGTGCTTTGAGTCTATTTCTATGCTAGGCAAAGTGTCCATAGCCAAAACTCTTCTTAAACATGGTCAGAATTGGACAAAAAAAAACACCGAAACCATACGAATTTATTAAGGAAGTTCAGAAAAAAAAACATGAGCAACAACATTTCTATAATCGATTGGTAAGTAGAAGTTGATCATATTGTTAATTGCAACCTCGAGAAGAAGAGAAAAAAAAAACGAAAAGTGCTTGCTTTAATTGTGTTTTTTTTAAATTTAGCCCGTTCCAAAAATAATCGATAAAGAAACGGTAAGTTCATCGTATCTTGCGTATGTGGTGAGTGAATGTTCGCTTTGATCTTTGGTTCAATGCTCTTCGAATTATTGAACTTTCTCAGTGTCGCTGAGTGAATTTAACGTGAACGAAATCAATTTCACTTGACATGTCTCGCTAACAGTTTGGCTGCAGTTCAGTTCCGTACGACAGCCCGTGTGTGTATGCGTTTGTGTGAATGAATTCCAGAAATCGGGTTCGCAAGTTTAATGCGCATTTTATCCGCCACGGATAAAAATAGGATACAAAACGGGAATATTTTTACAAGCAATTACGAATAGATTGTGCGATGCCCATCATTGCGCGTCAAGGAAAATTTCGAACATTCAAATTTTGCGCCTTTGTTTTCGAACAGACAGATTTGAGAGAATGAGCGAGCGAGCGAGAAGGAGAGCGCGTACGCGAGAGAGAGAGAATGTACGACGACTACATGCGCTGCGCATTAGAAATACGCTAAAAACGTTGAATTGGAACATACCATACTTAGCCAATGCTGAGAGCGAAGGGGCCATCTATGAATAGGTGCAACAAAAGAAACAAAAATCGGTTGGGGTCGTCATACATTATCCTTCTCTTTCTCTCGTTTTGAAAATCCATTTTTACTGCGTTGTTGAAATGCAATAATTTTTTTTCGTTCATATAACACTCAAACCGTTGATAGAAAATTGTCGAATTCCATTTAACAAATTAAGTGCTATGGAATGTGCTCAACGAAGTGAGTGTGTTTTTTTTTCCTTCATTTCGACTCTTCTCTTATTTCGTTTTTAGTCGATTCGAATACAAACAAATTTAGTTAATCGCAACGGCGTATTTGGTGTTTGACATAGAAGAGACATAAGTACCGACAAAAAAGTAGCCGTACAGCTGATTGAAAAAAAAAGACAACACACACTGAGTGCTGAATGTTGTGTTGTCGAATGAGAGACCAAAACAAACACATTGACAAAACAACAACGCAGCTTACAACAAAGGAGAACGTGACAGGCGCATACACATGCACGCCATTCTCTTGGCTTTCATACAAGCAATACGCACACTCATGTACACACCATCCATCGGATGGATGTAGAAAACACGAACCAAACGGAACATCTACGTTCGACGATGTTGATTCGAAGTGGCACGACAAAAACGATCATATACCAATACAAAAAACCTTCATACCATCGTTTCGCTAACTGGTTGGCTCGTGTTAGTCGTTCTGGCTCATGGGCATGTATATGTATGTGTGTGTATGTGTGTGTGTGTATGCATGTGTTCGTGTGCACATCATGTATATGTTGAAAAATAAAAACACATAATGAATCTTGGTTGGAATGATACAAGTCGACAGTAGCTCGAAACCAGCAATCAAATGAAAATTTCATATTAAAACGTGAACAATTCGCTTTGAGTTGAACGAGCAGCAGCAGAAGAAGAAGAGAAAAAAAAGTTATAGAAAGAAATTACATCAGAAAATTGAAGTGAAATGTTAAAATTCAATTGATTTTTTCATATGTGAGTGTGAGATTCAATTTGGATTGAGCGATTTTTTTTCCGTGGTTCATCAAGAAAATAAATA